GGCCTGCAATGTTTGCCCTGATCTCAGAGCAATCGCTCTCAGATTCGGCAAGGTTCTGCAACCATTTTTTAAAATTAATTCATGGGATGAGGGTGTCATTGGCTGGGTCAGTATTTGTTGCCCAATCAATGTCCTGTTATTAACTGTCAGGGCATGTCTCACCGGCACAAGTTAATTCCAGCCTTTTCTCACAGCCTCTTGCACACGGATAGCTCCTGAAAGGTCACATCACCGTCTCACTATTCTCAACACCATTTCCGCTGTATCACAACGTTTTCCAAGATCACGGGGATCAGGGTTTGTCAGTAGATTCTCCCTAGCCCCAGAACCTATAGCCCAGCAAACGTCAGGGAGAGGAGCAGGTGAGAGAGGTGAGCAAGTCTGGGGGGAGTTGAGTACAATAAAGGTGGCTAATCAGCAGAGCAAAACCAAAGTAGGAGATAGGATTTTGTGTTTCTCAGTAAAGTAGTTAATTTGCAGACATTGACTGTTGTGATCTGGAACACTCTGCCTGAAACAGATTCAAAAACAGCTTTCAAACAGAGAAATGAGATTTCATTTGTCTCTCATCAAATTCATGAGAGTTTGAAGATTCCTGTTGGAATGTGGGAGAGATTGATTTCATTTGTCGTACAGAGTACAAGCAAATATCACAACAGAAAGCGTACCTGTCCTAAAGGAAGTCACTCCTGATCCGGCTCCTTGAAAAGCTTCTATGAAGGAATACAGTAATTCCCATTGCTGTATCACAGACAGAATGTGAGCCTGTAGAAATGGATATGTAGAAATCAGCATTTAGGTTTCACAAAGAGGCACCTGGCTCAATTAACAGGGCTCAGGTTTCCCTTTCAACATAGCCAGCTCCTGCTGGCTTCCAGATAAACTGAGAGCAAACTTCATAATCAATGTCTTAAAATCATTTCTGGTTTCTTTACTTCATGATCAAGGCTGAGCTTTATTTTTTATTTTATGCTGACAAATTTGTTTGTAATCAGAGGACAAGCATTTAAGAAACCGGAGGAGACATCACAGAGAATTTGTTTTACGCAGTGAGATGTTATGGTCTTGAAGCTAAAGCAGATTCATTAATAAATTACGAATGTAGCCTTGTCATACCGCAGTGCATCTTGTAGATGGTACACACTGCTGCTACTGAGTGCCAGTGGTGGAGAGAGTGGGTGTTTGTGAATGTGGTGCTAATTAAATGGGCTGCTTTGTCCTGGAGGGTGTCAAGCTTCTTGAGTGTTGGAGATGCATCCATCCAGACAAGTGGGGAGTATTCCGTCTGTTTTGGACCAGACCAGACCCCCTCAAAATATTTTAAGAAAGTAGCTCACACCCTAACTTTTTCTTATTTTACAGGTAGATGTGAAGTACATGTTCCAGATGTGATGCGACTGGTCAAGCTACTCGATGTTAAGCAAAATATAATTTAAACAACTTTGGTTAAAATACAACCAAAAGAAAAAGGAATTTAGATAACTTAACTATTGGTAAATATAATCAAATAAACAATATAGTAACTATTACTAATTAACTATTCCAATATAGTACCATCCCATAAACACACCCCTTGCCAAAAAGACAAATTCAGACAGAGATTCTCACATGCAGTTCTCAAATCCAGGAGGAAGAAACATCAAGAGAAAATTCAGAGACTGTAGCAGGCAGGAGACATTCACTGAAGCTTCGAACTCTTTTGAGACCCCAAACAGCTTCTGATGTTACTGAAAAAACCAAAATCCAAATATCTGGTTCTGTGAGAGCTAGCCACACCCATTCAGGCTGCTTCTATTGTTCTAACTTTTGATTAAAAACCTAAAAGCCTCACAAGTTGTTTACTTAAGTCATCTTCAAGTAGCCATTTTGTTACCTCTGCCTTATAACCTCTTTTCAAAAAAAAAGGACAAAATAACCTTTTAAAATGACAGCATTGTCACACATCACACTCCTCACTTGTGCCTTGTCGGTGGTGGACAAGGCCAGAAGTCACATGACACGAGGTTATAGTCCAACAAGTTTATTTAAAATCACAAGCTTTCAGAGTGCAGCCCCTTTGTCAAGTGAAGTGACACCTGACAAAGGGGCAGCACTCCAAAAGCTTGTGATTTTAAATAAACCTGTTGGACTATAACCTGGTGTCATGTGACTTATGGCCTTGTCCACCCCAGCCCAACACCGGCAGCTCCACATTGTCGATGGTGGACAGGCTTTCGGGAGTCAGGGGGAGAATAACTCACTGCAGGATTGGTAACCTCTGACCTACTCTTGCAGCCACAGAAACAACAACAGAAATTGCTAGGAAAACTCAGCAGGTCTGGCAGCATCTGTGGAGAAAAAGCAGAGTTAATGTTTCTGGTTCAGTGACCCTTCCTCAGAACTTGTAGCCACAGGATTTATGTGGTGAGTCCAGTCGAGCTCCTGGTCAGCAGTAACTGCCAGGACGGTGAGGAATTCAATGGCTGTGACTCTGTTGAATGTCAAAAGGTGGTGATTAGATTGTCTCTTATCGGATAGAGATGGTCGTAGCCTGGCATTTATGAGGCATGAATGTTACTTACCACTTGTCAGCCCAAGTCTAATTATTATTCTGTTCTTGCTGCATGTGAACATGGGCTGCTTCAGTATCTGAGGAGACATAAATGGTACTGAACATTGTGCAATCTTTGGCGAATATCCCCACTTAGAGTCATAGAGCCATACTGCATGGAAACAGACCCTCACTTCTGACCTTCTGATGGAGGGAAGGTAATTGATAAAGCAGCTGGTTCTATCTCCTCTGATTATTGACTCCAGAGGAGTCTTCTTATATACTCAGACTACATCCTTCATCATTTTGAACACTTCGATTTAATCTCTGTTTAACTTTCTCTGCTCCAAGGAGAAAATTCCCAGCTTCTCCAGTCTCTCCACAATCACTGAAGTGCCTGATTCCCAGACATGTCTCCAGTCTCTGACCTGCTCTCGTGGCCACTGTGTTTATGTGCTGAGACCAGTTGAGTTTCTAGTCAATAGTGTCCCCCAGGATATCAATGGTGGGTGATTCTGCACTAATGATGACATTGAACATCATACAGTATTAAAGTATGGCACAGTTAGGCCATTCAGCCCGTTGTGTCTGCACCAAGTCTTTTCAAGAGAAATCCAGTCACTCCTAAACCCCAATCCATTCTTTCCCCTTTTTCTTTATCCTCAAATAATTATTCAACTTCTTTCTGACCATTAGTTTGATTCTGTATTCACCTTACGATCAGTGAGGGAGTATTTTCCATTTCCAAACCTGTTTGTACGTTCTTAGCTCAGGTTGGATCTGCTTCTTTACCAATCAACCTAAGAAGTTAAACCAGGCCCATCTGATTATCGATCCTTCAGCCACTGCAATTTTGAATAATCATATCTAAACTCTTCATAATTTTATACACAGCTATGAAATACCCTCCATGAAATCTCCTCAGAGAGCAACCCCAGCTTCTTAGTAATCCCTCGTCTTTGAAGCCTTCTTGAAAAGTTCTTATTAAGTCTGTACAAAGCTTTCACATTTTTCTGATGCCTGGAGTCACATTATTGTTGAAATCTGTTATATAAGTCCAGCAACAAATTCTTTGCTTTTACACACAATGCCAATATTTCTAAAGACCATTTAAATTATAAGGTTCAATGTGATACACTTTACAACCTGGCTTTGTAAGGCAATTGTGCACAACTTGGGTGTTCATATGAAATAAACAGCTCCATTCTTTGAACCTGGCCTGACGTCAAAGCAAATTATTGGAGGGTGCTTCTTAAGATTTGTTGTTACTAAGCGTCGGTGGTGGAGGGAGTGGATGTTTGTGGATGTGTTCCAATAAAGTGGACTGCTTTGTCCTGGATGGTGTCAAGTTTCTTGAGTGTTATTGGGACTGCACCCAGCCGGGTAAGTGGGGTGTATTCCATCACAGTCCTGACTTGTGCCTTGTAGATGGTGGACAGGCTTTGGGGAGTCAGGAGATAAGTTTCTCACTGCAGTATTCCTAGCCTCTTACCTGTTCTTGTAGCCATAGTGTTTCTATGGTGAGTTCAGTTGAATGGTAACTCCAAGGATGTTGATGGTGAGGGATTCAGTGATGGTAACACCATCAAATGTTGAGGGGGCAGAGGTTGGATTGTGTCTAGTTATAGATAGTCATAGCTTAGCAATTATTTGGCATGAATGTTACTTGTCACTTATCAGCCCAAGCCTGGATATTGTCCAAATCTTAGACATGGTTTACTTCAGTATCTGAGGAATCGTGAATGGTGCTGAACATTGTGTAATCATTGGTGAAAGTCCCCACTTTGACCTTATGATGGAGGGTAGGTCATTGATGAAACAGCTGAAGATGTTTGGGCCGAGGACACAACCCTGAGGAACTCCTGCAGTGATGTCCTGGAGTTGAAATGACCGACCTCCAGCAATCCCGACCATTTTCCTATGTGTCAAGTATGACTCCAAACACTGGATAGTTTTGAAAGATGGTAAATGGCAAAATTTCAATTCAATAAAAATCTGGAATAAAAAGCTACCCGATGGTGACCATGTCAACTGTCACTAATGTCTTTTAGGGAGGGAAATCTGCCATTTTTACCTGTTCTGGCCTACATGTGACTCCAGACCCACAGAAATGTAATTGATTCCAAACTGCAAATGGTGGCCCAGCCTTTGCCACCCACATCACAGGAATGAATAATAAAGGAAAATGCAATTTTCTTTGTTTTGGTTTGATGAAAAGGAGGGTTTTTGGACAAATATATTCGTACCTAGTGTACTGACTGGGTTGCCACAATCACATGATCTCTACCTCTGCTGCAAGTTTGAGTTTGTGGAAGCACCAAATAACATGGAGTGCCAAAGTTCAAGATGTTCACTATAACCAAGGGCAATTAGGGATGGGCAATGAATGCTGTGCTGGACAGTGATGTTCAAAGCTCAGGAATAAACATTTAAAAATTTGATGCAATGCCATAATTATTTTTGTTCGCAGTGGCAATGACCGCCGATCTTCCCAGGGATTTCCATTGGAGGATTTAAGGAAGAATCTGCAATACCCACCAATGGATGCAAATGGTAAGTGGCAGTGACTCCCAACTTCTGGCATTGTTCATTTCTGTTATTTGTGGCTTCGATTGGTACGAGAGTGGTAATAATACAGTAACAGCACCAGCTGGCTCCTCTCTATACCTGAAAGACAGAGGTTCAAGTGCCCTCTGAAACATGATGACTCTACATTAGCGGAGTGCAATTGAAACCCATTCTTTCCTTTTGTTGCAGGCTACGTTTCTGATCCTCTCAGCACCATGCGCTACAATTCCTGCAGCAGTGGCAGCTTTGAAGATAGTTCCTGAATCCCCAGAGGAATTCCCGGGAAAGTGAGGGGAGAGCTGGAGAAGAAGACAGAGAAGGAGCAGCAGGAAATTAGCATCACTGAGTGTTTCAGTCTCCATTCTGGCATCCAAATTACCACAATGTTACTGTTATACAACTTTCACACTCCATAATATAGCATAACACAGAACATAGAGCAATGAAACTTTATTGCAACAATTATTACTGGTCTACCTGGACCTCCTCCCTGCCCCTCTTCATCTCACCCAGTCACCATGGCCTTTTGTTTCTCCCTACCTCCCGTGTTTATTCTGCATCTACATTTATCAAATACCAACAATATTTCCCCCCAGTCCCACATTACCCCCCACTCCCTGTGGGAGTGAGCCCCACATTCCCCCACTCACTGTGGGAGTGAGCCCCACATTACCCCCTCCCTGTGGAGTAGAGTCCCACAATCCCCCCATTCTCTGTGGGAGTGAGTCCCACATTTCCCCCCCAACCCCTGTGGAATAGAGTCCCACATTTCCCCCCCCACTCCCTGTGGAATAGAGTCCCACATTTCCCCCCCCACTCCCTGTGGAATAGAGTCCCACATTTCCCACCCCCCATTCCCTGTGGAATAGAGTCCCACATTCTTCCACTCTCTGGGTGAAGAAGCTTCTCCTGAATTCCCGAATTGATTTGGTGGTCCCTACCTTTATAATTGCTCACATTTGTTCATCCATAAATGCTTTTCTACACCCACATAGATCTCCAGCACCAAAAAGAGCCCATTATGCCCATGCCAGTCAAAAACAATTATCATGATGAAGGGTCTAGGCCCGAAACGTCAGCCTTCCTGCTCCTATGATGCTGCTTGGCCTGCTGTGTTCATCCAGCTCTACACCTTGTTATCTCACCATTCTAATCCCATTTTCCAGCTCTGGGCCCATAGCCTTATATGCCTTGCTTCTCGAGTGCACATCTAAATATTTCTTCCATGTGATGAGGGTTTCTGTCTCTGCTACACTTACAGGAAGGGAGCTCCAGATTCCTGCCACTCGCTGCCTGAAAACATTTTTTCTTATATTCCCTGTAAACCTGCTGCCCCTTACCTCAAATCAATGCTCCGTGATCACTGATCCCTCCATCAAGAGGAACAATGTCTTCCTGCCTACCCTGTCTATGCCCTTCCATTTTCTACATTTTAATCAGTCCCCTCTCAGTCTCCTCTGCTCTAAGGGAAACAATCCCAGTCTCTCCAATCCCTCGCCATAACTGAAACTCTTCAGCCCAGGCAACATCCTGGTAAATATCACATCCCTCCTATAATGTGGATTCCAGAACTGCACTCAATACTCTAGCTGTGGCCTAACCAACAGTTCCAGCATGGACTCCTTGCTCTTAAACTCTACGTCTTGGCTCATTAAGGCATGTATCCCATATGCCTTCTTAATCACTATCTTCCTGCCCTGTCACATCAAGGGACTTGTGGATATGCTCACCAAGGTTCCTCTGATCCTCAGTACTTCCCAGGGTCTTACTGTTCATATGTACTCCCTTGCCTTGTTTGCCCTGCCCAGGCACATCACCTCACATTCATCTGGATTGAATTCTGTTTGCCACTAATCAGCCCATTTATATCCTCCTGTAGCCTAAGGCTATCCTCCTCACTATCTGACATCACATCAATTTTGGTATCATTTGCAACCTTACGGTCAACCCGCCTACATTCAAGCCTAAATCATTTATATAACCACAAATGGGAAGGGTCCTAACACTGACCCCTGCAGAACTCCACTGGATACAGGTTCCCAGTTGGTAAAACACCCCTTCGCCATCATCCTCAGCCAAAGGTGGATCCATTTTGGAAACCTGACCTCCTTACCTACATGTGACTCCAGACCCAGAGCAATGTGCTCGACTCTCAACTACCCTCTGGGCAATTAGAGATGGGTAATATATACTGGCCTGGCCAGTGATATCTACATTCTGTGAGTGAATGTAAAAAAAAACCCTTAGATCCCATGACAACAAGGTGCAGGGCTGAATGAACACAGCAGGCCAAGCAGCATCATAGGAGCAGAGAGGCTGATGTTTCGGGCCTAGACCCTTCATCAGAAAAAAAAAAGATCCCATGGGCTCTTTGCTATCAGTCTCCCATGTGGGACCTTGTCAAAAGCCTTACTGAAGTTCAATAGACAACATCAAAAACATTGCCTTCATCTACACACCTGATCACCTCTTTGAAAAATTTGCTCAAGTTGTTTTCACATGACCACCCCTTAACAAAACCATGTTAACCACTCGATTAATTCCTGCCTCTCTAAATACAGATTAATGGGACTATCTTGTGATGCACTGGTAGTATCCCTACCCCTGAACTGAGAGCCTTGGGTTCAAGGCCCACCTGCTTCAGATATGTGTAATAATTATCTCTGAACAGGTTGATTAGAAAGATTAGCTAAATACTGATTAATTCTGTCCCTCAGAATTGCTTCCAATAGTTTCCCCAACACTAAGGTTGACTGACTGGCCTGTAGCTTCCTGGTTTATCCCTTGCTCCCTTCTTAAATAATGGTACCACATTACCTCTGGCAACTCTCCTGTGGCCAGACAGGAATCAAAACTTTTTTGTAAGCACCCCTACTATTTCCTCCCTTACTTCACTCCACAGCCTGGAGTTTCACCTGTCCCTCGGGATTTGTCTACTCTTAAGCCTGCCAGTCCACTTAGAACCTTCTCTCTGACTGCTGTTTTTGATAATTCTATCACATTCGTTCTCCCTGCTTTCTATATCCATATCTTCCCTCTCACTTGTGAATAGTGTCCCAAGATATTCATGTAAAACCCTATCTACACCCTTTGGTTCCACAAGCAAATTACTGCTGTGGGCTTTAATAGGCCTTATGCTTTCCCTTGCTATCCTTTTACCCTTAATGTACCGTAAAACAGTTTAGGATTTTCCTTTATTCTAGCTGCTAGTATTGTTTCATTTCCCCTTTTAGGTCTCCTAATCATTTTAAATTCTCTTTTGCACAATCTATACTCCTCTACTGCTTCTGCTGGTTTGAGCTCTTGGTGTCTGCCATAAACATCTCCTTTTTCTTTTGATCTTTAGGCTCCACAAGACTGGCTGCTCCCACCGGTTTTCTTTATTGGAACATGTCAGTCCTGCATTCTTCCTCATTCTGTCTTGAATGCATCCCAATGTTCGGAGACACATTTACCTGAAAGTATCTGTTCCCAGTCCACTCTGACCAAATGATGTCTGATCTTGTTAAAATCAGCCTTTCCCCAGTTGACAACCTTTCCATCATTATCCTTTTCCAGAAAAAACTTGACTCTAACAGAGTTATGATCCTGGTCTACAAAACACCTCCCCACTGATGCTTCAACCACTTACCAGCTTTGTTACTAAAATTAAATCCAGGGTCTTTTTTGTAGTGGTTTAAAAAGTTCTCATAGAAACCCTCCAGTGTGGAAGCAGGCCATTTGGTCCACTGACCCTTCAAAGAGCATCCCACCGAGACCCACACCCTGCTACCCTATCCCTGTAAACCTGCACTTCCATGACCAATCCACCCTAATCTGCACATCTTTGGACTGTGGGAGGGAACCAGAGCACCCAGAGGAAACCCACGCCGACACGGGGAGAATGTGCAAACTCCACACAGACAGTCACCTGAGGGTGGAATCGAACCTGGGTCCCTGGCGCTGTGAGGTAGCAGTGCTAACCACTGAAACACCATGGATGCACTTTAAGAATTCTGCTCCCTCTAAATGTCTTACACTATGTCTATCCCAGTTAACGTTAATCAGTGTCACTCATCTCTGGGACTGTTCTTGTGAATCTTTTCTGTATCTTCTCTGCCTTCACATCCTTCCTAAAGTGTGATGCCCAGAACTGGACTGAGTCCTCCAGTTGAGGATGATCCAGTGGTTTATCATCATCACCTCATTGTGCTTGTACTCACTGTCTGTATTTACCAAAGCCCTGGATCCTGAATACCATTTTAATCAGTTTCTCAACCTGTTCTGTCACTTTCAATAATTTGCATGCATCTATTGCCAGGTGCCCTCTGCCCCTACACCTCCTGTAGAGTGATACCCACTATCTGATATTGGTGCTGCTTGTTCTTCCAAACAAAATGGACAATTTTCATAATTCTCTGCTTTAAATGTCTCCTGTCCCACCAGCCTGTGCCTGTGTCCTCTTGAAGCCTCTCACTGTCCTCCTCACAGTTTGTAATCTTTCCAAGTTGGGTCTTACTTACAAACAGTGAGGTTGTGCCCAAGTGTAGGTCATTGATAAATCTTGGTAAATGCAGTACACCTAGCACTGATCCCCAGGGACCTCATAATATATGTAACTCCAGTCTGACACCCTGCCACTCACTGATAGCAGGAGCAGCCTGGTAGGGAAAGGGCGTCCTCTACTTCCCTCCATCAGGGACCAAGTGCCTGGGAATTGGGACCAGACACATGCCACACAAATGTGGTTCTCATATTCCTGATCACCACTGGGTTAACACCAAAGGAGGAGGCATTGGGATTTTCACTGGGTGGAAGCAAAGCTGTTCTTTCTCCCTGTGAAGCTCACACTGATGGTCCCTGAAATAGGCTCGACTCCATCGCTCATTTTCATCCTGTTGTTGTTGTGAGGAAATGCCTCCTTATGCCTTCACGGTTCCAAACCATTAGCTGAGGCAGAAATGATCCGAGTGTGCAGCCCAGACTACAGCAGGAAGCAGTGTCTCCGAGCCCATCCTACACATTCGGTAAATCACGAATGAACTCATCAGTCAGCACACCCCTCTGTTTGTTCCGTGTAGACACAGGATGATTGGAATGTTATCCACACCCATACCATCACCAGGCCCCTCCCTACCCCAGCTTGCCAGCTGCTGAAACCATCATCAATGTCTTTGCCTTGTCCAACACTCAATGATGATTCTGCGGTTTTCTAGGTTTATCCTCCACCTCCCACCTCCCCCACTCCAGAAACATCAATCATTCAACCCTCTGCTGCTCATTATTTCTGTCCCAATGCCTCTCCCCTATCCCCTACACTCTTCCATCCATCTGTAACCTCCTCCAGCCCTACACCCCTCCCTCCATCTGTAA